TGGGACTAGAAACGAGATAATCTAGAAAAACGATTTCTGGGAACCAGAAATCACATTTCCGACCCAGAAATCGATTTCGTGACAAGAAATCGATTTTTTCACATTTCCGTCCCAGAAATCGATTTATTGGTCAGAAATGTGATAATCCAAAAAACGATTTCTGGGTCCAGAAGTCACATTTCTGGGACTAGAAACGAGATAATCCAGAAAACGATTTCTGGGTCCCAGAAATCACATTCAAGAAATTCATTTCTGGACTAAAAACGAGATTACCCAGAAATCGATTTCTGGGTCAGAAATCGATTTCTGGGACAAGAAACGAGACGATCCAGAAATCGATTTCTGGGTTGGAAATGTGATTTCTGGGTCAGAAATCGATTTCTGGTCAAGAAACGAGACTATCCAGAAATCGATTTCTGGGCCCAGATTCGATTTCTGGACCCAGAAATCAATTTCTGGGCCCAGAAATCATTCAATGTTCCAAGAAATCTATTCTACAATTTTTTTTTTTTGCCATATTCATTTACTAATTTTAATAGTATATATATGTGGCCCATTAAAAAAATTATAACAATACCTTTACACTAGTATTCCCGAGATATCACCGGAATGTTGCCGGAATGAATATAGAGAGAATGAATTTTTTTGTTTTTTTGTTAAGGAATGATTTTTTTTTTCAAAAGAGAAGAGAGATGAAGATAATGGAAGAGAGAAGAGAGATAAACTTTTTTTTTAAAAAAAAATATAGTAAGGGCATTTAAGACTTTTCATGTGCCAAAATGGCTAAAAAAGATGTTTTTTTCAAACTATGGCTAAAATTTGTGTTTATCATTTCTACATGGCTAAAAAAAAAATTTCTCTGTAGATAAATTCCAAGGGTCTTATCTGCAATAGGAATTTTAGCAATTAAGTTCATTGATCAAATTTATAATTGACTAAAAATTTAATAAGTGCGCAATATTGATAAGTAAACTACACAGTATTGTGTGGTAAATATGCACATTAAGAAATATTATCATATTTACAAAAAATATTACAAATTTATTAAATATACAATAATGATAAGTAAATTGCACAATATTGTGTGTAGACATGCGTTTTATAAATACCGTCATATTTATAAAAAATTATAGTATTGTCACTGCCTACACAGTTTGAATTTTACAAGTTTAACAAATAAGTTCACAAATTTTTAAGCTAGGACACGCACATTAGAAAATCAGTCATATTCTTACGAAATTACATAATTATCACCGCATACAAAGTTTACAAATTTACCAAAACGTCACTGCGCTTAGGGCTGTTTGTTTCGGTCTAACTGTCCGAGCAACAAAAATATCAAAATCGATATAACCAAGTCTAACTTTTAGAAAAACTAAAACGACCGAACTTTTGTCCCAAGTTAAAATAAATCTGAACCAAATAACGGTTTGTTCGATCGTTAATCGAATAAATAATATAGATTATTTTAACTTGGACAAAATCAATGATATAGATTATTACTTATATAGTTATATTATAAAAATATATCAGTATTTTAATATTTGTATTTAATATTTTATGTTATTTTTGGCTTAAAGGTAATAAAACATATATATAATATAAAAAGTAAATATTTATTATATAGTACAGTAAGTTTGATTATTTCGGTTATCTTAAATATGAAGTCAAAACTGACCCGAAATAATCTAAGCGGTAAATGCCGATAACCGAATGGACATATAAAAAACCATACCGAAAATTATATTTTGGTTGGTTACGATGGTTTTTTTTTTTTTTTTTNNNTTTTTTTTTTTTGGTTTTGATCGAATTTTGTACACCAATAATCGCGCTAGATAATGCACAACAGCGACAAATAAAATTCTTTTAATTCATGTGAAAATGCACAATAGCGTACTTCTGAATTTTTCCGAGTGGTCATTATTTTAAGATAGTGTGCATCTTTCAGACACTAATGTGCATTTAGCCTATGTTTGGTTCGGGGGAAAACGGAGGGGAGGGGAAGGGAGGGGAGGGAAAATTTTATTTCCCCTTGTTTGGTTCAACTTTTTGTAAGGGGGAGAGGTTTAAATTTTCCCTTCAATTCCCTCCTCCAAGGAAAAATGTGCTCCCCTCCAAAAGTGAGGGAATTTGGAGGGGAGGGAAAATTTTAACAACAAATTACTCTTTAGACCTTACTGTGAATTATTTTATTTTTTTTGTTCCTTACATCATTAAGGATATATTTGTCATTCTAACATTATTTTCCCTCCCTTCCATCTTCTAACCAAACAAGATTAATCATTTTCCT